GATCATAGCGGTATAGCGCTCTGTCTATAATAACTAATTCACGGTTTCCTCGTAAACATGGCTACTGTTGTGACATGTTTGGCGGTCATCCATGCACGCGCCTAGCTTAATTACTATAGCATGCGATTTAACATGCGAGTTAGCATGCGAGTATACTGCTCATGAGCTCAAACTCGCAATGATTATTCTGTATATAGGGCTCCCCTGACAAAGCTCCTTAAATTTCTAACGACAGTGACTATAGAAGAATCGTTGATTATTTATGACATAGTGACGGAGTTACACGTCGCTATCATGCCAGAGTTACATACACCGTTCCTGTGTTATCGCCTAACAACGCCACGGCGTGCCAAGAAATGTTTTTACCCCTTTTCAACGCCAACCTAGATACCGAATACTACAGCAATTCCACCGAGTCGGCAACACCCGTGAGCATCTCTGCGTGAAATAACGTTAGGGATAAACGCCTAAAGGGGGATTGTAACGCACGTGTTTTATTAGTGTGCATGTGGTACGGTATAGTGGTTGCTATCGGCCGCGGCATCTATCGTATATAGTTCGTATCCCACAAGGACACAACAATCTCGGTGTTCGCTCTATAAGACTTTCGAGTTCTCGTGTGAAAAAATAAAAATATGCATGCGTTTGGAATTCGAGCGCCGATCACCGGTCAATGATCGGTGAACGAACGGAGGCCGAAGCTAGCATTATCATTATCGTCATCGATATGGAGAAGCGCGTGCGGCAGAAATGCCTCCATTATTCATAGCCAACCTGGTTTAGTCCTCGCGGGAGAGTTTTTGTAGACACATCGGAAGCAAATGTATGAAACGTGTGACCATTGCTTTAGGCATGAGATCAATAGCCTCAACCCAACTGAACCTCCGATAGCTCTAAAAAAGCAGGGGTCCCTTATCAGAAACAAAACTAGCCAGAACATTGACTTTTTCTCGTAAACCGGACCTCTATATATACTGCGTATGAGAAACTCGTAACTTTACGATGTTTCCGTCAACAATCTACGAGACAACGTTGAAGTTAAAGTTAATTAATTAAGAAGACTATAATGTTAAGACTAATTTTGTCATCTGACAACGGGGTCCAGGCTTTTAAATCAGTTCGGCGCGAATCCAAGCTCAGCCAACCGGTCTGCTGGCTGTCTCACCTGTGGATGAACAGCTACCAGGGACCGCACGCCAAGCCGACCGTTCTGCTGGCTGTCTCATTTGTGGATGGACAGCTACCAGGGACCGCACGCCAAGCCGACCGTTCTGCTGGCTGTCTCACCTGTGGATGGACAGCTACCAGGAACCGCACGCCCAGCCGGCAGTTCTGCTGGCTGTCTCACCTGTGGATGGACAGCTACCAGGAACCGCACGTCCAGCCGACCACTATCGTAATTGATAGCAGAGGAAAAAACAGCGCCCTGTGCTCTCGCTACCGTCTGTTTATCCGCTTCCATAAATAGACGTCCGCTGCAGCAGCAGCAGCGGTAGCAGCAGCGCGGAGAACGGACGCCGGTGTCCTGGGAGGACGGGAGGAGGAAGAGGAAGAGGAGGGGGGAAGGGGAGGGGAGAAAAGCGCTTTCCTCTAGGCACACGTGCAGCGGGCATCATGCCGTCTCTACCAATTTGTTAATAGCGGTCTGTGCACGTACGGAGCGGGGTTTCAGCATCGGAGGCGAGAAAGAGAGACATAAAGAGCGAGAGGGAGAGAGACATAGAGAGAGAGAGAGAGAGAGAGAGAGAGAGAGAAAGACATCGAGAGAGGGTGAGGGAGAGAGAGGGAAAGAGAGACACATAAAGAGACGCACAGAGAGAGAGAGAGAGAGAGAGAGAGAGAGGGGGAAAGATAGAGAGATTGGGTGAGAGAGAGAAAATAGAGAGAGATTAGGAGAGAAGGGGAAAGACGGAGGAGAAACACACAGAGAGCGGGGGAACGAAGAGAGGAAGGAGAGCGACAGACGGGGTACCAGTCTGCGCAGCACGCACAATCCATCGTGCGCACAGCTATAACCGCCAAACGAAATAAACCGCCGAGCCGTGGGCACTGTAGCGGTATTAGCGGGCCGCCGGTTGCTGCTGCTGCTGCTGACGGCCGAATATTTTCTCCGGAATTCGGAGCGTAAAGAATTCCGCCGTACAGATGTGTGTATCCCGGGCGCGATTTCCGCTGATTTCTAACTCTCTCCTTGTTGTGACGAGTAGACCTACGCGTATGTTTGACCAACAATTCTGTGTTTTTTCTTTCTTTCTCCCCGCGCGCCCGCTTGCTGTCGCCGCTTGCAGTGCACCCATCGCATAGCAGATGCTTGCTAATCTGTAACTCTCTTTTTGCTGCGACGCTTACCGTATATACGTACGACTATACTGAGTTTGTTTTCCTCCCCTTTTCCCTCCCCCCCCCACTCGCCTTTTACCACGGCTTACAATGCAACCAATGTATTTACCTCTTAGCGAACCTACCGCTCGCTGCCAGACCGCTTAGTAGGTAATTTGTGCGGAATAATGGTTATGCATGTCAATGTTCGGCGATTTCAATGCGTGAAAGAGCGGTGCGGTTGTAGAGAGGCTGTTCGACAATAGCAATTATGCGGCCGTCGCAGAAGAACAGCACTGATGAAAGAAATCGCAGGGGCGTTCTAAAAGAAATTGCGTCACAATCGTATGCCCTAAACAGCGGAACAAAGATACGATACGCGCACGGAATTTTACACTTGAAAATTAATCTATGCAAATTGATACTAATTAACTACTTCGCTGTAATTGGTTTTGGGCAGCGTTCATAAATGGGCATGCACCGCAATCCATCTGTGGGTAAGTAATGTGAAAGGCATAATTACTAAGTCGCACTTTTGGTAGTTTTATTGTGCATTAAATTATAGTTATTATTTCTGTTTATAAATTTCTGCGAATCAATTTAAGCTCAGAACCAAGGTCAGGGTTATTACAATGACCACTGTTGTATGATGAATGTGGTTATTGGGTGCGGTCGATAATCGTACGTTTGTAATTTTGTATCGTGTCAGCCAGCACACGTGCGTTAGAGCCTGTGTGCTGTCTGCTTCCGTCCATCCTAAACCATTATCGCCGTAGAACGCTAATTCATGCACGCAAATCGTCTGCCTGTTTGTTTGTATTCCGCTCACAGACGAGATATCGTGTTGCTTATCGTAACGGTCCCCCAACAGAAGTGTACGTCAGGCTCCCCATCGGGGTACAGACACGGTCGGCAATGCAAGAAAATTACCCGTAAGTGCTTGCAATCTAATTTTAAAGCGAAAAGACGACGAGATCAGTGTGCAATTGTTTTTGTGTGCGGAACGCCGCTCGTGTTATGCGTGCGAGGGACGCCACTAGATCTCGTCTGCCGCGCTTATAAGCTTTTTGTTGTTCGCAAAGACAACTCTCCATTACAGCGTCTCGCCGTAAGTAGCGAGGGAGCAAGCAAGCAGTAAAGGGTTTAGCGCGCTGGGATCTTACTTTCACTGCACCATGTGCGTCACACCAGATGATCTCACGCAACATTTTATCTGCGTGCGCGGGCCGAGTTACATCTAAACCGCACCGACTATACACGTGAATGGCCGTTTCTCATGTGCGGTATGTGCTAACCCCAACCCTAACCCTAACCCAAGTACTACTAGTCGGTCGCTGGAATAGTATTATGAGGTATGCGCAACGTTCTGATATGTTCGCGTGTGGAAATCATCGCCGTTCCACACCAAGGATCGTTTTCCGGACGGACCGGAAATGGAACACCGTCAAATACGTGCTAGCAAAAAATCTATACAATATGTGTCCCGGTCTATAAAGGTCGCTCTTTTCATTGAGTGGTAATCATGCAGTGAACGCGTCTTTATACAACGGACACCTTTCTATAAAGAACACGTTTTTTTCATGACTGACCCTTATATACAGGGTCGTCTGTATTGCGAGTCAACGCGCTCGAATCAAATCGCAGGGTTTTTTTCCGGATTCTAAAATGTGATTAAAAATTAATGAGGCACAGTGCAACGCACGCCGAGGCGTTGACACAGTGACACGCGAACATCGTCTGTATTCACGTCAAGCCGCTGTTCATCAGTTCTGTGTAGCCGCCATCCAATCACTGTCCGTTTTTTTATTACTCTCCCCGGGCATCTTTCGTTAAACATTGCCGAGAGACTTAGCTAGGGCTCATAGCGTCTATGTCCCCCAGGGTACTGCCGGAACGTACCCTGGGTACGGTCCGGTATACCGGAACGTACCCTGGTAACTATTTGATATGGTTAGGGTTAGGGTTAGGGTTAGGGTTAAGGTTAGGGTTAGGGAGTAGGCGTAGGCGACTCCCTAGACTCGTTAGTTGAGTAGGCGAGGTACGGTCCGGCATATTAGATAGTACCAGGGTACGTTCCGGTATACCGGACCGTACCCAGGGTACGTTCCAGCAGTTCCCTGGGGGACATAGACCCTATGAGCCCTAGCTAGGTCTCTCGGCAATGTTTAACGGAAGATGCCCGGGGAGAGACTCTCTCAGCCTAGCTAGGCGTTGTAGGCACGGTATAGGTACCTCCGCTCAGTACACGATTATTTCTATGTACCGATGAATATGCTCGCCTGTAGTACTAAAGTGAATATTAGGGCTTACTTTGACTATCTTTCTAGCCCTACGTTGAGACCTCGGTGCACAAATCAACGTTATCCTATTCATATCTCTAATCGATGAGTACCAATCATAATCCCTTAAATATAACCGTAATCATTTTACCTAAACCTAGTCGTAAACTAACCCTAACATTATCATTACAATCCGCGGTCCTGGAGTAGGACTGAACGGAAACGAGTGCAAATATTGCGCGTGTACACATATAGTAAACGCTATAGGCCCATATCGCATGCAACTTTGCTCTTTTTAGTACGTAGCATTATTTTACACGTATACAGATAAAATATACTGATATACTGTTAAGTACGGAATGAGTGATAAGGCATAGCCCACTGATTGCGAATTAAACTTACCTTGTGAACGTCTAACGGGGCGCGCGGTGTATCTTGGTCAAAGTCGTCGTCTCCTTCGAACGCAGAGCTGTCGCTCACGTGTTGCTCACGCACTCGCGGTCTCTGTTTTTTCGCACCGTGTTCGTTCGGTGACGCCTAATGCACACGTACTGTGATGCCGTAACGAGTAATGCACCTGCGAGACAAATCTCTTTCTCTCTCTCTCTCTCTCTCTCTCTCTCTCTCTCTCTCTTTCTCTTTTTCTCTTTTTCTCTCGATTTCCAGCGCGATTACGCGTACGTGTGTTCTTTATTGCGAATGCTTCTCAAAGACTGTCGCTACCTTCGATTGTTGCCTTCGACAGTTCCCTTCCAGTTATTTGCGAGATATACTGTGCCGCTCACACAGTGACAACTATAGTGGCAACTCGCCTGATGAGTAAAGTCTCCCGCTTTGCTTGCCGCAGCTGCTGTTACTCGGGGGATAGCTCGGCTAGTGGGGTGCGTACGGCGCAGACGCTCAACCCAGCTCACGGGTCGGCTGCGATGAAGCGCATCCTCCGAGCTCGCCGCGACATCTAGCGGAATGACAGTTATGATGATAAATTGGGGGAGAGAGAACGCGCGCACGGGTATTATTACTGTGTGGCCATCTGAAGAGCGATATTCGCGTGGACGGAGGGCACATTATTATAAAATATTAGCGGGCTTTAACTGACTAATAATTATAGGTTCGTATATAGAAAGCAGGATAGACGCGAATAATGTTTTGCGGTGGCACACCGGTGGCGAACGTCATGGGTGGCGTTTTTGTTCGCAATTTCTGAAAAGTACGAGCATGATCTCTGAAAACGTTGCCATTTTTGCTTGCCGCCGGCCTTTCAGTCTCGGTGCTAAAGCAAAAACCCGATGAAAGCGCTGAAAAACATCCTAAAATAGCCCATCTCAATACCATAAATGAAACGCAGTGGGTTTAAGTATTGATAGCCCTATCAGTTCAGTTTGGCGAAGAAGTTAATAAATACAAATTACTATAGTATAAGGCCGTACTGTAGCAGAACCATCTAGTAGTATGAACGTATGTATGTATATAGACGTGAGTTCGTGCTATTATACGAAGGTATGGCTATTAAGAAAACTGTAACCGGTTCCTACATAATGATGCGCAATCATAACTTTTACATTCTCACACTTCAGTTGACGTGTGTGACTCACACCTGCTGATTTAAACGGGTTGCATGCTCTCTCTTTCTAGGCGTGTGTGTGTGCGTGCGTGCGTGCGTGCGTGCGTGCGTGCGTGCGTGTGTGTGTGTGCCTCCCTCGCTCACTTTTTTCGCTTTCTCTCTATCGAGCTCACCCTCTCTCTCTCTCTCTCTCTCTCTCTCTCTCTCTCTCTCTCTCTGCCGCGCGCTCTTTCTCTCTCTCTCTCTTTCTCGCCTACGCTCTCATGTGCAAGCCTACAATATCTATTCGTCTACGCGAAGACTATCCACCCAAAAACATTCCTTCTGTAGCCTTCAGAACTGTAATGAAAAGCGAAAAACGCATGCACTCAGCTTATCGCCGCCTGTAAGCGTACGGAGATTAAGAGAGCGCGAGAGAGGGAGAGAAATAAAGAGAAAGAGAGAGATAGAGAGCGGGATGGAGAGCAAGGAAAAGAGAGAGAAAGAGGGAGATTGAGAGAGAGAGAGAGAGAGAAAGCAAGAGAGAAAGATAAAGAGCGAGGGCAAGAGAGAGAAAGAGAGAGAGAGAGAGAGAGAGAGAGAGAGAGAGAAAGATAGAGAGAGAGAGAAATAAAGAGAGGGGGAGATCGAGAGAAAAAGAAAGACAGAGAGGTGAAGATTGAGGGATAGAGAGAGAGGGAGAGAGAAAGAGAAAGAGAAACAGAGAGAGGAAGAAAGAGAAAGAGAACGATAAAGAGAGAGACATACAGAGAAAGAGAAAGATAAAAATAAAGAGAGAGACATGCAGAGAAAGAGAGAGAGCGCGCGCGAGAGGGAGAGGAAGGGCAGTAAATACCTCGCCGCACTACCGGCAGCATGTGCGGCAGCTGTCGACGTCCGACTTGAAGCTCACGCACGCACACACAGAGAAAGGTTACTCTGGGACACATACGCGATGTTTATGGTGGACCGAAATACCAGCAATTTAGCGTAAAGTATACAACATTAGTCGGCGCACTGGCTCGCCGGTCTCTGTGTGCACGGAGAAGCAATCCCTCTGCCGACGGCTCCGATGTTATTTGATGAACCTTACCTCCACTAACACATGTGAGATCTCCGCTGACTAATCCTCGGTAGTCGACGGCGAAAATATTTATAGTTGATGGTAACGTATATACGGGTGGGAACCAACAGCGCGTACAACAACAATAATAACGCTATCTCGAGGCTGCGTGCGTACTGCGTATGCATTCTTCGCAACAAGCTGCCCAAATGTTTACTCGCCGCGTGCTTGCTACATATACTAGCTACAAGTACAACGGTCGTACACAGGAATATACATCAAAATATACATAGAAGGACACATTGACAGACACATCGAAAGATACATAGAAACAGACATCGAAAGATACATCGAAAGATACATAGAAACAGACATCGAAAGATACATTGAAACATACATCAAAAGATGCATAGAAACGTACATCGAAAGATGCATCGAAAGACTGAAAGAAGATGCGTATTGATGCTAGCCTCGCAGCCTATTCGGGCTAGTAATGTACATAACACAAGGAAAGAGCCTACGGGAAGATTTAACTCTAAACGTCAGTACAACCACAACTGTAGCCACACTTTCAGCGCTAACACTAACATCATTCACAACTATAACCCCCCAACGCCATGTTGGGCAACGTTAAGGTTGGAATTGAGTTTGCGTTAGAAATAAGCTTAGAGTTCGTGGACGACATTTAAAGTTAGGGTTACGGTTACGGTTATTTAACCTCTACTCTAACCCGACTTCAATGGCCAGGGCTACCCCTAAAGTTAGGTACCGAGAATCTATCAGTCCTACCCCATAACCCTAACGCTATTTCTAACCCTGACTCTTATGCTATGGTGACCGATATGTGTGAGCCCTTCCCAACTATCTGCCTAAGTACGTACATAGAGCCTGCCACCCGCGTGGAAACTTGTGAAAAGGCGGTAAACGGCTTTTTGGCACTCGTATTATAGCATAGGCAGCCATTATAGCTTTTGCTTGAGTATAAGGCATAAAAGAGCACGAGTGTGAACGATTGCGTTTTGTATAGCATCTCTGTATGTGTGTGGGGGCGAGCGTACGGGCATGCGTGCGTACGGTGGACTAGCGGGCGTGCGGGCGTGTTGTGCGTGAGTGCGTGCCGTTTGCGTGCGCATTTGTTTCATCTATGTTTATATGTATATATATCAAGAGTCCATAATAGAACATCTTTTCTATTATGGACTCTTGATGTATATAGGTGCGTGCCTGCGTGCGTGCGAGCGAGAGCGCGCGTGTGTGTATGTGCCTGTGTGTGTGCAGTACGCAGGCAATTGCTAGCATCCTTCTTCCTTCGCCCGTGTGAATGCAGGCTGCTCCTGACCCTTAAGAAACCCCTACACCTCGGACGCATTTTTTGCCGCGTGTGTAGCATACGCGAATGTACACAGCACCTAATAACGAAAGGTTAGCATCTTTCTACATAGCGTTTCATCTGCTTCTAATTAGTATAGACACAGCTGCCAGTATCGAAGTGACACCACGGGAGCTTGTCCAAATGTTTTGGTTACAAATACATTCGAGCGCGAGTTACGCACCACGGTATATGATGACGGAGAGCACGCGAGATGTCAAATTCCTGTCGGATTAACGACGGATCCCCGCTTTGACCTCCCTTGTATTATACTCTATGTATGTACACCCTTGGCGCGTGCATCGGACATATGATTCGTGTGGATTTGGATGTCTATGTACATTGTACACCCGTGGCGCGCGCATCGAGCAAGATTCGTATGGATTTGGCCGTATATGTACGTGTGCATACCATCGCTATGCGTCGCTTGTTCGCTCCTCGTCATTTTCACACGCTTCGCACAAGTTTTGCGTCGCCGACATATCAATCACACGATGCCTGCCGAATTCTTTCTCGTCAGTCGGCGTCCGAATGTTTCCGATTGCGCATTTTTAAAACTCGTTTTTGCTGCTTTAACCGATTACTAACGCGCGCAATGACTATTGTGTGCTCGCGACGAATTGCTATTTTTTCGCCAAATATCGACGTAACCCTGGAACAGCGAAACGGGTTATTACGAGTGATAAATTAGACGTCAGATTATGAGCAAGCATTGTGTAATCTACAATTGCACCTCTTCTTCCTTTGTTCGCATGTTTGTCTTTTTCGGTGAATATTAACTCGTTTCTATAACATCGTATTATGACCACAACAAAGAAAACTCAAGAGAGCGATTTTCTTTCTTTTATTTCGAGAAACAAGAACAAATATGTAGCGATATAATGAGCGAGTAAAAATGGGTAGTAAGAAAACACGGATACCGATAAGAAGGGCAGAGCATCGCATAACGATATGAGGCTATATATCATCAGAAAAAAATAAGGGCAGGATAACGCACAAACAACCGGCGGGGAAAAAAAGTAGAACAGCGCTGTAATGAAAGTCAGTGGTTAGATGAAATCAGGGTAACTACATGCGGGGGAGGGGTAATGCTAAGACGGTAGTTAACCGCACAGTGTTACTGTGCGGAGTTATACACTACAGTGCAAGTGTGCAGTGTTACTGTACATGCAGTGTTACAGAGTATCCAAGCCGGACTGCGAGACTAACGTTGACCGTATCTTGGAAGTGTGAAGGTAGCGAGTGGTGCGGATCGACGTAGTCTGTGATTTTCTCGTCGGATTTTAGGATCATATAAATTAATATTCTCAGCCAAAATTATCACTGGCGATAGAGAAGGAAGAAAAGAGAGCGAGAAAGAGAGAAATATATAGAGAGAGATATATTGGGAGAGAGCAAGAGAGAGAGGGGGAGAAGAGAGAGAGAGAGAGAGAGAGAGAGAGAGAAAGAGAGAAAGAGAGAGCGAGAGAGAGAGATAGAGAGAGAGGAGAGAAGGGAGAAAAGAGAGAGAGAGAGAAATATATATAGAGAGAAATATTTTTCTGACGTATCCTGAAAATTTTATGACAATCCGTCCATGACTTTTTCAGTTAGGCTTAATAGTACAGTAGATTAGAAAAAAATCGTTCAAATTGTGAAAAAAGTATGAAAATTGGTACACTTGCATACTTTTGTATGCTCTTTCATTTAAAAGCAGGACACACGCGCCCAAAACCAGCCTCAAAGTCCTTGGCACTACCCCTCTTCCACAGCCTAACAGGATGTGACACGACTTTACGTTTTCTTGGATGTGGCAAGAAGACCGCCTGGGCAGCCTGGAAAAGCATGCGCGACCTCACCGACACACTAGTGGCTCTCACACGCGACGCCTGACCTCTTCAGTCTGGTGTCTGTACATATGCAGCAGATCGAACGCGTTCGTGGTACTCATGTACAGCAAGGGGTGTGGCGCAGCTGTTTCAATGAGGCCAGGC